GTAGTCAGGAATAATGTCGACTTTTTCTGTATTTCAGAATTTCTGACGCAGGATTTGGTGGCGGTACAGGCCAGAGACTGGGAAGGCAAAGACTTCGTCCTGGCATCAGCCTACTTCCCAGGGGAGGCAGCAGTAGCACCCCCTGAAGTGGTGGTAAGGCTTGTGGAGTACTGCAAGAGGTACAGGCTGCCCCTCATTATCGGATGCGACGCGAACGCTCACCATGTAGAATGGGGAAGCACGGACTGCAACACAAGGGGTGAGTCTTTTTTAGAATATGTATTAGGTAGTAATGTAGCCATTGAAAATGTGGGTTGCGAACCCACCTTTATAACTATAAGCAGGAGGGAGGTGCTGGACATCACCTTCAGCAACGAACATGCAAATGGAAGGGTCTTAAGGTGGAGGGTCTCAACAGAGCCTTCCCTGTCAGACCACAGAATCATAAGGTTCGCACTGAAGGTTGAGGTCAGGCAACTTCCCCCAAGACGCACCCCTAGAAGGACCAACTGGAGTGCCTTCAGGGTAAAGCTACAGGAAAAACTAAGTGGGGAGAGGCAGAGCGATGATAGCGTTACGGGCCCGGGAATCGAAAGCAGAGTGCTGGCATTGAACGGGTCTATCACTAACGCTTACAACGGTAGCTGCCCCCTAACAGTGCCCACAGATAGGCGCAACTGTCCCTGGTGGACAAAGAAGCTAGCAGACCTCAGAAAAATGGTTCGCAGCCTATTTAACAAGGCAAAACGTACTGGGGTCTGGGAAGAATACAGGAGYTACCTAACCCTCTACAATAAGGAGATTAGGTCAGCAAAACAAGCTAGTTTCAGGATCTTCTGTGAAAAAGTCTCCTCCACACCAGAAGCGGCGCGGCTGCACAAGGTTCTGGCTAGTGGAAAGGCTAACACGGAGCTAGCCATCAAAAGAGGTGACGGGACTTTTACGACCAGCGCGGAGGACAGGGCGAAAGAGCTTCTGCGTGCTCACTTCCCGGAGACAATCCCGGTGGACCATTGTCCACCTGTGAGAGAACATAGGCCATCCCGCTTGGATTGGGTAACCGCTGGGCAACTATTCACTGCGGACTCGATAAAGTGGGCAATGGCCTCGTTCGGAAAATTCAAGTCTCCAGGGGTGGACGGCATCTTCCCAGCGCTGTTGCAACAGAGTGAACAGCCTTTGCTGCCCCCCTTGTTCGGCTGCTGACAGAGAGCCTCGCAATGGCGTACATCCCTGACCCATGGAGGACGGCTGAGGTGATCTTCATACCCAAAGTAGGAAGGAAGGACTACTCCATGGCCAAGTCCTACAGGCCGATTAGTCTAACCTTCTTCCTGCTGAAGATTATGGAAAAGATCATAGACCACAATATAAGGTCAACGGCGCTGARGACTGTACCCCTGCATGCTGCTCAGCATGCATACAGAGCGGGAAGATCCACCAGTACGGCTCTGTACCAGCTGACCTCGGAGATAGAGAGCTCACTGGAGAATGGGGAGTTAATGATATGTGCCTTCTTAGACATCGAAGGTGCCTTCTACAACACATCTCACAAGAGTGTAGCCAAGGCGATGGAGAGAAGAAATGTAGCAGCTCAGGTGCGCAGATGGATAGAGACTGTGCTGCGCACGAGGATAGCCGAGACCAGGGTAGGTGAAACAAAGATGCGTCTGGGTGCGACAAGAGGCTGTCCACAGGGATGTGTGCTATCACCACTACTATGGAGCCTTGTCGTGGACGAACTGTTAGCATTGCTAACYGACAATGGGATCCGCTGCCAAGGGTATGCGGACGACATTGTGATAATAGCAAGAGGCAAATTTGAGGATACTCTCTGTGACCTAGTGCAACGAGGTCTAAATCTGGCAATGGGGTGGTGCAGAGGGGTGGAACTAAACATYAACCCCTCAAAGACAACCGTGGTACCTTTCACAAGGCGCAGGTCCCTACCCGGCTTGAGGAATCTCACACTTGGGGGCAGAGAGATCGAGATGACTAGCAAGGTTAAATACCTGGGTCTTACGCTGGATTCTACCCTGCGGTGGAAGCAGCATGTGAACCTGACGCTAGTCAAAGCAACAAAAGCATTAATGGTATGCAAACGGCTGGCGGGTAAATCCTGGGGCTGTAAGCCAAAGATCGTCAGGTGGTTGTACACCATGATTGTGCGACCGATAATTACATACGGGGCGGTGTCCTGGGCCTCCGTAGCGTCGCAGTCTTCGGTGGTAACCCAACTATCGAAGCTTCAGCGACTGGCATGTGTCTGCATGACGGGCGCTATGCGGACCTGCCCGACGGCAGCTCTGGAGGTCCTGCTGGAACTCACACCGCTCCATATAATGATAGGGCAAGTAGCCAAGCACTCACTTCTGCAGATAACAGCAGAGGGATGCGGCAAAGGCAAGATAATTTCGTCCCAAAGGACGGAGAGGATAAGTGGCGACATTCCTATTGCCCGCCTCCCAAGGGACGCCATTAACAGAACAATTCACTTCACAAAGAAGTTTAAGGTTACCCTCGGCAGCAAGAGTGAGTGGAACGACCCCACTCTTGAGCAAATGCTTAGGTAGTACATTGAGGTGGTATACCGACGGCTCGTCGGAAGGAATAGGTGCGGGTATTGCAGGTCCGCGTACCAAGCTCTCTATTCCTATGGGCAGTTTTCCGAGCATTTTTCAGGCTGAAGACTTGGCTATAAGTCGGTGTATAGAGATAAACCTCCACCGCAGCTACCGCAACGAGCGAATAGCTATACATAGCGATAGTCAGGCGGCACTAAAAGCTATCTCCTCCTACGAGATCAAATCGCTTTTGGTGCAGGAGTGTAGAGAACGGCTGAACAGCCTAGCTGAAAAGAACTAGGTGCACCTAATCTGGGTGCCCGGTCACAGGGGTATAGCCGGCAACGAACTGGCTGATGAGCTAGCCCGCTCCGCAGCTTCCACCAATATGGTTGGGCCCGAACCATTCACTGGGGTGGGTCCCCATACTGTGAAGGAGCTGCTCCGCAAAGAGGAAAGAGCGTGCAGGGAAAGGTATTGGAAACGAGCGCACGGTATGCGTCATGCCAAGCTGCTAGTTGAGGGGTACAACAATAAGAGGTTCAACCTGTTAATGAACCTCCCGAGAAACAAACTCAGGATCCTGGTCGCATTCTACACCGGCCACTGCAAACTAAATAGGCATTTAGCCAACAAGGGCCTATCACCTTGCGCCAACTGTCGGATTTGCGACAGGGACCCTGAAACCCCAGAGCACCTGCTAATCGACTGCATTGCAGTCTGTAGGCGCAGGTCGAAGGCCCTTAGAGCCATGTTTCCGGATAGGGATCACATCGCCTCGCTGGCACCCAGCAGAATACTGGACTTCATCAATATGCTGGGGCTAAGTGAGTCCCTGCGAGTTAGGAGAGGGCACAATATACCTAAGGTCGCAGTGCATTCCTCATTTATTTATCTATCTATCCATCAAGCCCTCTCTAACCTGTAGAGGAAAATTGCCTTACAAAGTATCACATGAACATACTTGTATAGTGAACATGATTTGAAAATATAACGCACAAACACTGATTATTTTACCTATATATGGTAAGATATCGTGGTGCCATGCGTTTGTATTAATACTCCTCGTTGTATAATGTGATTATACTTTGGTCTTTGGTGTCTTTAGACTAGATTTTAATGTGATATGGCTAATGCGTTTACATGTAGGGGTAATGATTTGTCGGAACCGATTAAATAAAATGACAGTAACAAATAGCTCCCTTACAACATGTCATACATTTTGCGTTATATTTTCACCTTCTAAACAACTAATTGATCATACAAAACATGGTACTTATTATGTGTTCATGAAAAGTATAAAGCATTCAATATAACGATTTTTCTTAGTTCTTAATATCTTTCTGAGCTGAAAACCGTATCATTTTCTTATGTATTAGCGATGCAGAAGATATAGTTGCCACGGAACAGGAAAATTTAGAACTTCAAGTTAGGTCGCTGGAGGGTGAAGTAGCGAGCTCGAGTAAGCTTGTAACCGCAGTGAAAAAGTTTTTTACGGAAGGTCAGATTATGAAGCTGATTGTAAATAAAAATATACATTGGTCATGGTCAGACATTTCATCGGCCGTTATCTTACATGCATCAGGACAGAGAGCATATAGGCATTTGCTAAAAAATGGTTATCCTCTTCCGTGTGTGGCCACTTTGAATAACTGGGTGCGAAAAATGAAAATGGATGAAGGGCTTTTAGAAAATGTGATTAAACTTATGGAATATAGTAAATAAAGTAAACAGGAACGGATCTGTGTGCTCTCCATAGATGAGATGAAAATAGCTTCTTGCTATGAGTATGATCCGATGAAGAGAGTCGTGAGAAAACCATCAAACTATGTGCAATTTGTATTCGTTCGAGGATTGGTGTCCTCATGGAAGCAACCTATTTTTTATGGATTTGATTGTAAAATAAAGAAAGATACATTGGAGAACATAAGCTCAAAACTATATTCAGCAAACTTTACAGTCGTTGAAGTCGTTTCGGACATGGGGCCTTCTAATCAAGCAATGTGGAAAGATATCGGTAACGGTCAACTTGTAAGTGGTATATTATTATATTTTTATGAGAATGCTTCTTAATTTACAATAATTTAAACTAATTCACTAGCAAAAACTTGGTTCAATCATCCTAAAAGTGATACACAGCGTGTATTCGTGTTTGCTGATGCACCGCACCTTTTAAAATTAATTAGAAATCACTTTATAGATAATGGTTTTATTTATGAAGGAAAAATTATAACAGTACAGACAATTAAGCAAGTTTTGAACCTAACGACAGTCTTTGACGTATCCATTACTTATAAATTAAGCTATGAGCATTTGGAAGTAAAAGGCGCAACTATTTTCGAACACGTGTGCTAATGCTATAAGAAGATGCTACATAGATTAACATAAAATATATACCGCAGTGGAATGTGCAGATTTTATCCAACTTGTTAATAACTGGTTTGATATTTTTAATTCTAATATTCGTTCTAATCAAACTCCGTTCACAATGCCATATGGAAAATCACTTTTGCAACAAAACGAAGTGCTCGAAAAAATGTCAAAAATAATGTCTGAGCCCTTGATTTCAAATAAACGATGCATAGCTGCTTTTCAAAAGGGAATAATTATTTCCACAACGTCTCTTAAGCTATTACTTGAGTACATACATGGAAACTTTGGGATGGAATATATTTTAACGCAGCGCCTGAATCAAGACATCTTGGAGCATTTTTTTGGCGATATGAGAAGGGTTGGGGGGCAATATTACCATCCGACACCGCTACATTTTAAATATCGACTTCGAAAATATATGTTTGGTAGATATATTTAAATGATCCTTTAAAGTGTTTTTATTTAATTTGTGTTTTTTCTTTATAGCACGGAACACCGAAAGTTTAGCTCAACATTGAACGTACAAGAGGAMGATGCAAAGTGGCTGACACTAGATCCGGAGCCGGAATATTTTTTAGAAGATGAGATATATATACATGAAGAACACTTTTTAAGTAAAGAGCTTGACAAAAATAATAATCAAAATTTAAGTAGTACAAGTTTGGGTTCATTTTATGAGGATGGACTGGAATATTTGGGTGGTTTTTTAATACACAAATAAAATTTAGGTGACAGAATTTCAACTGATAGTACATGGACATGGGTAAAACCGAACCAAAATTTTTTAGAACAGTTAAAACTTTTAGAAGACGTGTTTACAAATGTGCATAACGACAACATTTGCAGTGTCAGAAATTTGGTAGAGATACTTTTTGATAAATGTAAAGATATTGCTCTTGAGGATAATGTCAAGAAATTGTTTTTTAGGTGCAGGATACATTTTCGAATCAAGCATTTGAACAAAAATTTGAAAAATAAACAGTTGCATCAAAAATATCACAACGAAAAAAATGTTTTATACACTTACTTGAAAATACAATATTAGAAACAAAACTACTCATTTAATTTTTGATTTATGCTTTGGAATGAACTATATGAAAGATTTATAATAACTATTATAATTTAAAGAGTCGCATAAACATCTGTACACAGTTTCTAATAGTTTGGCGGGGTACCGGTTACGACGTATATATATAGTTACAATAAAATTTGTGAATAATGTTTCATTTATACAAGTATTTAATTGTATGTAAAATAAATATGAATTCATTATAATGTTGAGAACAAATAAATTGGTTGTCTCTATTTCTATTACGTTTATATTTATATTTATATTTATTAAATAAAATTGCTCAAAAAAATAGGTTCACTACAGACAATTATTTTGGAAAAAGAAATTACGATAAAACAGTTTTGTTGTATATTTAACATTACTCAGTTAATAGCCAGTATATCCACCATTATTCTGGATTACTTTATTTATTCGTTTGCGCACATTACTCCTCTGCGAATCTTAGGCACCTTGCCGCGGTGCAGGGGCTTAGGCGCAAGGCATACTCAGCGCCCCCCAACCTGTGCGGCTGGTGCTAGTAAGCACTGACTATGCGGGATGACTGGTGCCGCATGCGTGCGCTAACCAAGAGCTACCACCTCCTAATCCAGGATGTTATGCGACTCCCGTGCCCATTGGATGAGTTGSAGCCGGGAGGTTAAATTCGGCTGTATTCTAACGGAGCCTCCCYRACACCGGGCCGAATTGGGGAGTAACTGTGGCCTTACCGCGTCATGGGGCTCTGGCGTGGCGGACCTTCTAGTTCCCCATATAAATGATAGACCCGACAGCTCACCCTGTTCAGCCAAGGGTCGTAAGAAAAAGATGAATACAAACAAAAATACAAACTGGAAAATAGGCGACAACTTCGGAAAACGGACGAAACAGCGGCAGGCAAAGGGGGTCAGGGAACTAGACGAAAATTTAGCTCCCTTGACGCTCTCTCGCCAGATGAACGGGCGCTGGTTGGGGAGCACGCCAAGCAGGATGATGACGGTGTGCCCTCTTGTAGCGGCGCTCGCCTGGAGAAAACGCCGGGTGCAGCTGTAGCAGCAACAAACGCCACCAAGACCCCCGCCGAAAGGCGCAGCGGGTCGGCCTCGGGTGAGTCTCATCGGGCAGAGCCTGACGGTGCTCATAGGAGAAGAAGGAGAAGGCACGGAAGAGGTAGGTAACGCCCCTCCCAGAAGCTGGTCAACCCGGCGGATGCAATGATCCACGCAGGAAAGGGATGAGCGGTTCCACTATGAAGTGGTACCTGTGGAACCTCCGTGATGGGATGACCCCGGAGGTGGCAGAGGCTCTAGCCAGGAAAAAATGCAACGCATTCCCGGCAACAAAGCTCGTCTCGCGCGCAAGACAGTGGAAGCAGCAACCGCGGCCCGATCAGCACCACCCAGTCCGCAAGGCGTGGCGATAGCAGGGCACTGCCCGCGGACACGTATGCTCAAGCCGCAAAGCGAAAGAGCGGCCAGATTACGCTGCAGGAGCACCCCCAGCTCTAAAAGGTTAAGGGGCACAAACCCAAAGGCACCCGGAGAGCAACAATCTGGACCGGCTCCCCATCGGGTGGAGGAGGGCGCAGATATGCGGACGCTGTAAAAGTCATTCGCATGGCTGTACTGCCTCTCAGCTACCCGGTGGAGTCGCTTACACCGGAGGAGCTCACAGTGCTCCAGGATCTCCTCATGGAGGAAGTGTTCTGAGGGGAGGACTATGCGGCGTCCTTCCTGGGAGTAGAGTTCAGAGGAGGAATGCTGCAAACGGATTGCGTGGATGAGGCGTCCGCCGACTGGCTGAAGGAGTATGCTCCAAAGCTCGGAAGCTGGAAGGGCCCTGTCCTTTGCGCGAAGAGGGCGGAAGATTTGTCAATCATGCACAGCATGACGATGTTCCTCCCTCGGTGCGGAGACAAGCCCTATGAGTTCGCCTTGGGTCTGGTAAAAAACCAGAGCCGGGGACTCAGCATCTCGTCCTCTCGTGAGCAGCAAAATGGAGGAGATCGGAGGAATAAAAGAATGGAGACTCATTTATAATGGCCGTCATTGCGGAAGTTGCCCAAATGAACCTGCATCACGCGGCTGCAGCTATAACTAGCAGGTTCACAGTGGAGAAACTGGGCATACTGCTGATCCAAGAGCCTTGGGTTCACAGAGGAGAGGTAAAAGGCCTCAAAACGGAGCCTAACAAGGTAATCTGGGATCTCTCTAGCGAGAGACCTAGAACTTGTATAGTTGTTAGGAACAACATTGGCCCCTCAGGCCAGGGACTTTGAGGGCAAGGACTTCGTCCTGGCCTCAGCATACTTCCCAGGGGAGGCACCCACAGCGCCCCCGGAGATGATGGAAAGGCTGGTAGAGCATTTCAGACGGCACAGGCTCCCCCTCATCATAGGCTGCGACGCTAACGAACACTACTCGGAATGGGGCAGTACCGACTGCAACACAAGAGGTGAGTCTATCAGCTGACCTCTGAAATAGAGAGTTCACTGGAGCATGGGGAGGTGATGCTCTGGGCGTTCCTGGACCTCGAAGGTGTCTTTAATGACACGTTCCACAAGAGTGCAGCAAGGCACTGAAGAAAAGGAATGTGACGGCACCAGTGCGTAGATGGATAGAAGTCGTACTGCGCTCAAAGCTTGCTGAGACCACAGTAGGTGATAGCAGTATTCGTCTCGGCACAACAAGAGGCTGCCCACAGCTGGGTGTGCTGTTATGGAGTCTAGTTGTAGACAAACTGCTAACACTGCTAACAGACAACGGGATCCGCTGCCAAGGGTATGCGGACGACATTGTCATTATGGCAAGAGGGAAATTTTAAGACACTCTCTGTGACTTGATCCAAAGAGGTCTCAGCCTAGCGAAGGGGTGGGGTAGGGAGGTTGAACTAAATATCAACCCCTCCAAGACGTCTGTAATCCCATTTATGCAGGACCCTACCCGGTCTTAGGAATCTCCTACTGGGGGGTAGTGAAATAAGGATGACCAACAGTGTTAAATACCTTGGTTTAACGCCAGACTCCACGCTGAGGTGGAAGCAGTACGTAAACCTGACATTGGTCAAAGCGGCAAAGGCCTTAATGGTGTGTAATCGGCTAGCAGGAAGGTCCTGGGGTTTAACGCCAAGGATAGTTAGATGGTTGTACACCATGATAGTAGAACCGATAGTCACTGGTCACCACTGGTCCTCCTCCCTAGGGATAGTACTACTAAAAAGGTTAACCTCAGGAAGAAGTTTAAGGTTACCCTCGGCAGTAAAGACGATTGGAACGACTCCAACCTCGAGGGGATGTTGGGGAACAGTACTATGAGGTGGTACACAGATGGCTCAAAAATGTCGGAGTTAATCGGCGCAGGGATTGTGGGCTCACGCACTAGGCTCCCCGTACCCATGGGTGAGTTCCGGAGCGTTTTCCAGGCAGAGGTTTATGCTATAAGGCGGTGCATAGAAGTAAACTTCCATCGCAACTATCGCAATGAGCGTATAGCCATTCTTTGCGATAGTCAAGCGGCGCTAAAGGCGATCTCCTCCTACGAAATCAAGTCGCTTCTAGTGCAGGAGTGCAGGGAGAGGCTGAATAGCCTTGCGGAAAGAAACCAGGTACACCTGATCTGATTGCCTGGTCACAAAGGTATAGCCACCAGGATGGTAGGACCCGAACACTTTAGGGGTGTGGGTTCCCATACCATGAAGGAGCTGCTCCGTAAAAAGGAAAGAGCAGGCAGGGAAGAGTACTGGCGCCAAACTCATGGTATGAGACACGCCAAGCTGCTAATAGGAGATTACAACCTGAAAAGGTTCAAAATCGTAATAAACCTCCCCAGGAGCAAACTCAGGCTGTTAGTCGCATGGTATACTGGCCACTGTAAGCTAAATAGGCATCTGCACAGCATGGGCCTATCAGCTGGCGTCAACTGCCGTTTCTGCGACAGGGAGCCTGAAACTCCGGAGCATCTTTTGATCGACTGCACAGCGGTCTGTAGACGCAGAGCCAAGGCACTTGGAGTGTTGTTTCCGGATAGGGATAGCATTGCCTCGCTAGCGCCAAGCAGTCTACTGGACTTCATTAATGGGCCTCTATACTTCACGGTTTTTTTTTTTTTGTAACTCGAACGTGAAACTCCTTTCCTTTTGGACGACGCACGTTTCTTTCACAATCGTTTCCAAACAAATTTACTTTCGTTTCATCGCTCCATAAGATGTTTCTCAACTTTTTTGTCCCTTCAGGTCCTGACCAATCTAAATGACTTCTTGCAAAATTTAACCTCAAATCGAAATTATTTGATCGCATTAATGGAACTTTCCTGGCTATACGTCCTGGTAGCTTGGCCTTTTGCAAACGCCTGTGAACTGTTTGGGCACTTACTACATTCATAATTTCTGCTGCTATCACCTTCGACGACTTGAATGGGTCCTTTTTACAAAGAGTTACAATGTGGCGATCAAGAACTGTACTCGTTTCTGTGTGGTCTTCCACGAGTTTTCCTACTAGATCTTCGCTCTAAAGCATTTTTAACAAAATTATGATACCTTTCCATTAATTTTCCAATTTCCCGAAGTCATTTTCCTTGTTTTCTAAAGTTTGAAACCAGCCGGGCTCCTTCAACAGTGCAATGTGACTTCCGACMCATCTGATTAAAAAATAATTTAATTTATCTGCATCATTTTGAGCTTTAATGAAAGAAAACTTACCATATCAGATTAAAAAAACTTGGAAAACTGGATAAAATTAATTTTGTTTTCACAAAAAGCTAAGTTTACTTATGTGTAACTATTATATTGAGCGATTTTTTTTTTCTGAGAATTCACGCAAAACTGACACACGCATTAATTTGGGGAATCACATGCTTCATTCTCTTAGAAAGGGCAACGAAATATTATCTTAATTAAACTTTCAGCATAACTTGTCGCATACAGCCCATAAAAAGTTTTTAAACTGTTGAGATTCTACAGAATTTCAGCAACGCACTAATTTTGGCAGTTCGTTTTAGCGCTGTTCTTCTGGCATCCCGCATTTTTTACTAACTGCTGGTTGACGAGACCCTGATTGTGTTTTGTTGGCAGCTCAGAAAAGAGAGCAGTGTGCGCTGCCAGCTGTCAAGCGAGAGGGTAAGAAAAGAGATTCTGCTCAATTTATCCACGTAGGCAAGCACATTTTGCCTCGTCAAATTATTTAAGGAAATGAAAACCGCTCTGGCAGTACATTGCCAGCAATGTAAGCATGAAATATACTTAGAAATCAATTGCTAAACATTAGTAATGTGCAGTCTCCATCGGCAATATTGCTAGCAATCCAAATTTTTGGTAATCGTAAATTGACTGTCGAGATGCCCCTTTAGGTATTCATATTGAACCAACGAAATAAAAAATACGATCAACTGCATCTGAAATCGGCTGAAATGTATAAAAAATTTAGTAGAAAAACGTACCTAAAAGTATTTTTCTTTCTATCATGATAACAGACAGCGATTTCATTTTGGCGATTAAATTATATCCTGAGCTTTATCAGATTGATAAAGAAAATATCGCTGATGCTGAAGAAAGGAATAAAGAGTTATGGTCGCAGTTTGCCCGAGACCATCAACTTAAAAATGGTGAGGATGTAATGTAGATAAGGCGTTGAAATTTTAGAATTTTGTTATTTTTTTGAGTAGGTACTGCAGCAAAGCTTAAATGGTCCCAAATAATTTCGCAATATGTATCTTTTCTGATGTATGGCACACCTTTCCACTTTGAAAAGGAAATGCAATTTATGCAGATGCCACTGCTAGGTGCTGGGTATGTCCTCAAAATAAAATCGTTACATGATTAATTAATTTTATGGCAATTTTTTTCTAGACTTGAAGATAATCAATCTGACTCCGATATTGACGAGACAGAATTAAGAAGGGTTCTAAAGATTTTTGAAGACTTTCCAACTGATATTATAAAACAAAATATTAGGACTTCTGCTACAAATATAATAGCCTCAAAGAAGCGTTCCCTAGTCAAGGGACAAGGAAGTGAATTGAATAAAGCAGATTTTGTAAAGTTCAATTCAACTGTTACAAATACGGAAAAACATTATGAAACAGATATATTGGACTTAAATAATTATAATAAAAACGAGAGCGAAGTAAAAGTTGAATTAGCAGTGAATAAACTAAGCAGTAAGCAAAACGGACTGAACACTATGGTTAGCACGGAAAATATGTTAACGGCTTTTACAGCAACCACTCATGCACAGGCAGCTATTAAGTGTAGTGAAGACACTGGATCTCCTGGGGGTTTCTCAAGCCTGACTTCACTGGAACTTATTTTCCTCGGTTATGCTAAAGTATTGCAGCGAATGCCATTACGATTGCAGCTGCAGACTAAACGTAAAATCGCAGATATTATGGATGAGGCAGAATTAAAATTGTTTGAAGACAAATGAAATAATTGAGAAAATAAAGTTTTTCTTTGAAAATGATTCCATTGTTGCTTTTATTGGCACGTTTCCGATTACTTTGGCGGAGGGGTAAAACAACCGAATTTCCGTAGAAATGGGGTATGTACGGATAGGGGAGTTTCTCCAGAGGAGGAATATTTAAAATATAAAAATAACTAATATTTTTTAAAATATTCACGTTTAAGAATTCAAAAATTTGCACTAATTTGCACTATTTGCGTTTCACGGCGTTTTTTTTTTGTTTGTACTTTCGAGTGATTCTTTTTGTTTATTAACTACAAAAAAAAAACGATAAATAAGATTTTTCAAGCTAAAATTGAATATGTACACTTTTCCATATACATACATATATGAACATATGAATAATATGTGATTTATATTTAATGAACATAGATAAGTAAAATCGTGATAATATTATATATTTATATGATTGTAATATAACATTTTTACTGAAGCATTTTCGCGTAGTACTCCTTTTTGCGTTAAAAACAAAAAATATATTGAGTTTTTGTTATAAAGTGGTTATATTTTTTGCTTATCATGCACTTATATTGAAACAAAATTTGAGTTTTCGTTTTAGAATGGATAAAATTTAGTTATTATATCTGTCAGCGATTTCCATTAATTTTTGATTATACATTGTTTTGTATTTTAGGTGACGATACTTATATTTTTATATATAAAAATTGAGTTTTGGATATAAATTGGTTATATTTGTTGGTTACCATGCACTCATATTGAAACAAAATTTGAATTTTCGTACTGTACTTGTACTGTCTCTTATACACATCTAGATGTGTATAAGAGACAGGTATTCCATATCATTATATAATATTACTTATTTGCTTAATAAATTTAAAAAAAGAAAATATCCATATGCATGAATTAAGCGATCCATTTCGTCGTAATTTTTGGTAAACAAATGAGGTTCAAACGAGTGTAAAATGTAATTTTTAAATAAGGATTTTTAGGTAATAAACCTGTTCAAAGTGTAAAATGTAGATTTATTCAAAAGTTTATAGTGTAATTTAATTAATTTGAAGTGGAAAATGTGAATAAAGTGTGTTTAATGTGGCGAAATAGCTTTTTGAAATGTTCGAATTTTGCGAATTTTTAAACTTTAAGGTCGAATATCTCGTAAACTAAGAGTTTTCGGTACCTATAACCCTATACTTTTTAATCAGGAGGACTTCCTCTTCAAATCGCGGCCCCAAAGAAATCGGAATTGTGCCCTTTTATTGTTTTAGTTTGGGAACTTGAAAAAATGACTGCCCATTTTTTCAGTAAACTCTTGAAATTCGTATAGCATTCCACGATTATTTGTCTGATGTAATGAATACGGTTGAAATGATGAGATTATTTAGTAAGAGTAAGTAATAGTTTTAGTAAGTTTAGAGGCGTCTCTACCATTATTACTGTTTTTAGGTAATTGATTGAGCTAAATCGTTTTTTTATACACGAGGTTCGGTCAAATGGGAATTGGTTGAAATACCGCCTAATTTTGATCACTTTCATATTGGTTGAATGAACTTGTTTTGGAGGTATTGTTTAGCTAAGCATTTGTTTCAGAGTCTACTATGCCTGAAACTAATTCCTTCAATATGCGTTGTCTTAAGGGTAAAGTTCATCTTCAACTATTAACACAAAACGACTTCTTAATTAACACATGAAATGAAACAAATACAAAGAATAAGACCAAAAATTATTTCGAAAATATTCGAAATTGCAATTTGGCCTATGCTATGGTCATATTTATTATAAGAAAATCTTGGCGCAAAAAACACGAGGAGGAGATTAAATTATTACTCGGAAGTTTAAGATACCTCTCAATGAAATCGAGCTATTCCATTTAAGTTTGGTTTCGATGCATGTAAAAGGGCCAAAATATGAAGATGTTCGTACATACAATGGAATTATTTATCGATTGTTTTCTTTGGATTTTGTTTAAATTTTTTCAAAACAATTTAAATACTATTAACACTGTTTTTTTTTTTACATTGGCGTCTAAAATTTAATAATATTTATAACTTAAAATGGGAAAATTTTAAGTAACAAAAACAGATAATTCATTTATGTAATTTGAGATCATTGTTATAAAAAATATATAATCAACTTCAGAAACAAAAACAGTTCATATTATATACAATATTTCGATCTGTATATTTCTAAACTTGCTGGATTCTTTTCTTAACTAAAGCAATACACGGGGGAAAATTAAAGGTACGTTTTTTAAATAACGTATATTTTTAACTAATATGTGGGGGAAACCAAATTCAATTAAGCCAGAAATTCTAGATGTATTTTGTCTACAATATATCTTTAATAGGTTGGGTGATTCAATAAGCGGGAAAATCCATAAACGGGGGGTCAATTAAGCGGCGGATACTAAATTCTTTCTCTCCAAACTTTAGTGAATTTATTAGTAATTGAAAGCCACACGGCTGTATGTACTTATTATTTTGACCATGTGTGTATGTTCAAAAGTAGGTAGCTAAGACTTCGAGATGACGTCGATGATACCTCGTGATTTGTGACAACGCAATAGGTTCGTTACGAAATCAATATTTATAATGGGTCTAATTATTGGAATCCGCATCGAAATCGAATTCGTTGCGAAAAGAATTTTCGATCGAAAATGTTCATGCGGTCATTGATACCGTCGATAACCTGCTTTACCATACCATAAGTGTACTATGTTATCAACATATTTGACAAGTTTCGAAAAAAAAAAAACATAAAATAAAAAGTTTGAAAAATGAAATAAATTGTCTTAGTTTTTTAGTTCGTTTTTACAATTATTTAAAATGGATACAATAGCATTATATTTAAGTGATAGTTATGATGAAAATAGTGTAAACATTCGTCGTGAGCGCAGAAATTTGAGGAATATTTCAAAAGACATGTTGGAAATGGATGACTATACATAAGTGAGTTGAACTCTTTAATCTAAAAAAACAACATTTTATTAATATTAATATGTATAGTATATACATACGCAGTTTCATCAAAAATTTTCGGATCAGCAAAAGGGCATTTATACACATTTTGGGGGAATGCGAAAATGATTTTGCAAAATGACAGGAACTCACGTAAAGAAAATGGCACCGTCAAGAGATGAACATCTGCATTTTAACAGCAAAGGATTCTCAAGTCTGAATGTTATGGTGGTATGGTGTTTATGGTGGCTTTTTCAAAATTATATATGTACATACATATATGTATATAGAATATGAGTGAAAAGTTAATTTTGAAAAAGCCTAACCACCACATTCACCATAACATTAGGCGTGCGACCACAAGATGCAATACGATAGATATATCTGGGTGCAACTTCATAATATCCATCAGTGCTTCAAATTGATTTTTGTTGGTGTGCTTTTGTTTCTTCTCTCTAAATTACACATTTATAATAATAATCGTGGGTGATTAGCCTCCACCCGCCTAACCGACGCGAGGGGCGCAATCCGCGAACGAGCGGAATTAGCCGAGTCATAAAAGGCAAGAGAGTTTTAAACATAGCGATCTTAAGCTGCTCAGCTACGGAAACAAAAATTTCAACAGCCAAAACTAAGAATTTGATTAAAGTTTATAATTTTTAAATGTTACTTGTCAAGAGTAGATAAAATAATTTTTTTAATGGTAAAGAGTGAGTCTGTTAGATCAAATGTGCTGTAATGAGAATTGAAGTCATGACATATACGGCGGAATGGTTCGTTTAACTCAAAATTTATTCAAAAAAAATTTTAAAAGTAAGGGTCTAAGGCACCTGGTAGAGTGAGCGGGAACGTTAAAATTAAAATCAGATAAGAGAGATGGGCTACAGACTGACTCATTCATGAGTTTTACAAGAAATAYACCGTGTATCTCCCTACGACTAGCGAGTGTCGGTAGATTTATAAGTTTTAAACGGTTAGTGTAWTTGGAAAGATTTAAACTAGAATCCCGATGCAAATGATTTAAGGCAAAAAGTAGAAATTGTTTTTGAACGGACTCTAACTTATCCGAATGGACTTGGTAACTAGGGTTATAARCCACAGAAGCATACTCTAATATAGGCCTCACCAAAGATTTAAAAARAATTTTTGTGGTAAGCGGATCTCTAAATTCTTTAGACCAACGTTTAACAAAACTAAGAGCGCCTTTAGCTTTAAAACCGTGGAAGATGCTTGAAGATGAAAATTGAGTTTGGGGTCCATAGTTACTCCCAGATCAACAAAACTRCATACTTGCTCCAACCTAAAGTTTTGTATTGCGTATAAAGTAGRGTCTACAGATCTAACCCTAAGATTGAAAAACACATCGTTTTATACTTTTTAAGATTCAATGGCATGTCATTTCTAWCAYACCAAGAAACTAGGTTGTTTAAGTCTGTTTGCAACTGACATCTTTCGCTCATTGAAATATACGTTTTAAAAAGTTTAACATCGTCAGCATATAATAAAATTTTTGGAAACTTAACTACAGATGACATGTCATTAATAAATAACAAGAACAGAATTGGACCAAGATGGCTACCTTGAGGAACGCCTGAAGGAACATTGATTATGTCAGAAAAAGKATCGTTAAATATGACTTGTTGAATTCTATTACTAAGATAAGAAGCAACCCATTTTAGAATATTGGTTGAAAACCAAGAAGATCAAGTTTATTCAAAAGAATTGATGGGATACTTTATCGAAAGCTTTACTAAAACTGTGTATATAGTATTCTTATTCTTCCTAAAGCCCGTTGATACGTGTGATACAAACTCAAGCAAATTAGTTATTGTAGATTTCTCTTTACGAAAACCGTGCTGAGGACAAGAAATTAGTGGAGAGATCCGGAAGGCTATGTTGTCTGTTATAATTGCTTCAAAAAGTTTAGGTATTGCAGACAACTTTGCTATTCCCCTATAGTTTTCAATAGATGACCTAAATCCACTCTTATGTAAACGAATTATAAATGACTTTTTCCATATGGATGGAAAAAAGCCTTGCATAAGAGATAAATTAAATAGTTTTGTTAGGGGTTGGTATATATAT